TTATAATACCGTAGCGAAATAATAAGAAGCAAGTACATAGAAACCAGTCGTCATAACAAGTTCGTCATAAAGACACTAGATATTGTAAATCCAATCGGTCATTTCTGTACGAACATTCTAAAGCTAGTAAAACAAGCCGTTAAATATTCTTTATCTTGAATTATCCACAGAATGGTCTCCCTCATTACTTCAAAGTTCACAGAAGGTCTCAGATTCAGATTTGTGTAGTAGGGACAGAAGGCCTACGGCCTATGTTATTCCTTTTCTGGTATGCTTCTCCAAATGTCCAGTCCTCTCCTGAAAGAGTCAATTGAAGGTGCGGACACCACTGCTTCGGGCAGAAGGTTCCAAGAACTGATGACTCGGTGTGAGAACCTGTATGCCACGGGTATTTTGTTCATTCTTGGCTTTTCTACTCGCCTGCTATGTCCCCTGATATATCCCGATCTAGTGGGAAGAAAAAGATAGAATAAGTTAGGTCCAAAATCATTTCTCAGTATTCTGTACATCAAAATTAGATCTCCCCTTAGTCTGGGATAGAATAGAGTACAGATCTCCACCTTTTCAAGTCGCTCTTCGTATGGTAAACCCCGGAGTTCTGGAATTGCACTGGTAGCTGCCCTCTGTACTCTATCTAAGATATCCAAGCCACCTTTTAAACAAGGACTTGCAGCCTGAACGCAGTTCTCAAGTTTAATTCTCACTAAGATTGTATATACTGTGGTGAACATGGTAGTATCTAAATCACTGAATGTTCGTTTTAAGGCCCAGAGAGTTCTAAACCCCTTATCTGCGATCTCCCAGCAATGGACTGTCGTCTTAAAATCATTACTCACTGTCACCGCTATATCCTTACGAGACCGGGCCACAGGTACAGGCACTTCCCCTATGTTGTATTTATTGACTTTTGTATCCCCAAAGTGCAGGTAGATACACTTTGCCACGTTGATAGGCACCAGCCACACTTTAGATCAGTTAATCACATTATTTAAGTTTGTCTGAAGTGGGCATTCATCTGCGTCTCCGGTTATTACTCGCCAGATTTTTATGTCGTCAGAGAATGTTAACACTGGGGACTGTAACATACTTGGGAGATCCATTATATGCAGTATAAAAAGTAAGGGACCTAGGACAGAACCTTGAAGTACTCCACTAAATACTGGTCAACAGGTGGAGCACATTGAGCATATTCTTGCTTTGTGTCTACAACCCACTAGGAAATCCTTAAGCCATTTTAAGAGAGGTCCGGCAATACCAAAATTTTCTAACTTCATTAGCAGTCTATTTGTCGGCATCTTATCAAATGCCTTACTGAAGTCTATGTAGACAACATCCACTGAGTTTCCGTCGTCTAACGCCTTTATCCAATGTTCCCTTGCTATGAGAAGGTTTGTTGTGCAAGATAAAGCCTTTTTGAAACAATTTTATTCTCTGTTTAACAAGTTGTTGGTTTCCACAAATGGTCTTTTTGAACTATTATTTCCATTATTTTAACTAGAACGCTAGTGAGATTAACATGTCTGTAAATCGATGGAAATTGTCTTGGTCCTGTTTTATCTATGGGAGTGACGATTGCATCATTTCAGTCCATAGGTAACACGCCTTGGCCAAGTGGCATATTGAATATCACAATCAATGGAGCTGCGATATATCGTGCAATATGTCTCAAGAATTTAGGGTGTGGTTCATCCGGTCCTATTGACGTTTCCGTGTTCAAGGTGCTAAGAGCTTCAATTGCATCGTATCGGTCAAAGTCCACGATGAGCATGAAGTTTTTTGACTTTGTGTTCGGGTCTAGTTCTTCGTCTATAACAGGTTCCTGAGTGAAAACTGCCCCAACATAGTTAGCCATTGTGCTTGCTTTTTCCTGATCTTCCTCTATCACTTCAGACTCACTCCCTTCGTTAGCTAGGTTGGGAATCCAATGATGCATCCTTGTTCTGTGGTTTATGTACGAGAATATTCTCTTGGGCTGCTTGAGTGCAGATTGTGCCAATTGCATTTCATATTTTCTTTGAGCTAATCGAATTTTAGTTATACACGTGTTTCTTACCGATCTGTAGCTTTCCATCGGACCCACTGTGCCAAGGCGGATAGCAACATTCTAGCATTTCTTCTTTTGTCTTAGCAAATGTTGAGTATCCCAGCCAATCCAAGGGATGGTCGTGATTCTTCTTCTTCTTCTTTGGGACTGTCCAGAGTATATATGGTTGAGCTACCTGGTTGTGTAACCACCTAAAATGAGTCTATGCCTTTTCCACTTATGTCCCTGAGTCAATTTCCTAGTTTTCAGCCGATGCTGCTGAGTTCATTGACTCCATGTTTGCCTTCCATATGTTTGGAAGGGCCTGCGCAACTGTTTGTTAGACCATCTCAGCCATGGATTGTAATAAAATGACTGCATGATCATTTCTTTTTAGAGGTGGAAGGAAAGTCATTTGGCCAACGTCATCACCGTGTGTGAAGACTAAGTCCAAGAGAGACGAGGAGCTTAGTAAGTCATATATGGTAGGATCTCTAATGTGTTGGAATAAAGCTATTGCGATTGAGGTTCCTAACAGTTTGCAATAAAATGATGTTATCGAGGACCCTACTTCTACGTTAACCCAGTCTATATACAGTGCATTAAAGCCGCCTACTACACGGCTTTTACCCTTGTTACACCAGGACTTATGTTTACTTAGGAGACAATCATCTACTACACATTCTAGACTGCGGTATCCTACAACTAATCTAATATATTGCCGTCTACACTTCAGCCTGCAACGCGCTAGTTTATATGTCCCTGAATCATATGCCACTGACTCAACTGCTCCTATGGTTAAGGTACTTTTCGTGTACAGGATGACTCCACCACCTCTACGGTTTAGTCTATTACTTCTACTGGACAAAAAACCAGTCAACTGCGTTTCATTATCGAAAACCTCTGACGCTAACCATGTTTCTGAGATAGCAATACCATCCAGATTTTCTATAACCACCACAGTCATGAGCTCCGTCATTTTATTTTGTAGGCTGCGAGAATGTGTATAGCACATCTTTAACTATGTGAAGAATTTTCTCTTAACACCCAGAGTGGTTTAGGGATCGTTTTGCTTCGAACGTTTACAATTTGAAGACCTTTAAGAACAAGGTTTCTTTCACTGTTTCGGCGACGCTCATTTGTTTCCACTTCTTTAGTTCGTCTCTTGATACGGTCGACTAGGCTGATATCCTCACGGACGTATATTCCGGATCCAATAAGTTTACGTGAGTTACCTAGAATCAGGTTCCGTTCTCCAACGGTGGCTAATATAGCCTTCAAGAGGCGGCTTTTCTGAGGACTTTCCGAATCCACCTTCTGTCCTATTCTTTAAAGCTTAAAGATGCTCACTCCTGAAACTGTTTTAGGGAGTAGCTTGCTTATTAAGAACTTGATATTACTGAGGTCATGCTCAAATCTAGTCTTTGTTTATTTATCGGAAGATTCTATTAGTTTGTGAAAGACGACTGGCCTGTCTGCGTGGTCCGTCTTAACACACTGTGGGATTTTAGTTTCTGAAACCATTTTGTAAAATGTGATCGACAGACGAACTCACCAATAATAAAAGGAAACGCCCACCACCATATTAACTCCCTTTGACCTTGTACTACTGTATCTCTTTATTAATCAATCACAGTTTGATGTTCATTGTAAAACAATATTTGCTTGTTGACTCATTTTTCCTATTCTCCGGCTACTGTTCGGTATGTTATTTGTCTGTTTTTTCCTTGTATTAATAGACTACAGTTTGTTTGTACACTAACGATGTTAATTTATGTTTTATAAACTGATAAAAATTATCTAGCCAAATGGCTTGCTTGTTCTGACTTTGGCCAAACCAAGACTCGGTATTCGACGGTCTAGAGAATAGCTCAGAATTTAATCTGTAGGAAATTGCTCCCTACAGTTTCTTCATTGCACTCCGATTTCAATTCAGCATCAAGCGCAGAGGTTACGTTCTGTTTTCTTACTTTATTTCGTAGATGTGACTATGAGGCACTCATTTACCTTATTTTGTCTCTTGATCACTTCCTCTTCACTGCTCAGACTTGACTCCCATGTGGTTTGCATTACATCCATATGTGAATCCGGGTCTAAACCCGCAGATTCACATGCCTCAGTATGATCTATAGGTAGTTTCTTTTTCTCTGCGCGCTTCTTTCTCCTTGTAACAATACCTACATCCATATGCTTATCTGTTTTCCTGATGAGGTGCCCCTCTATGGTCTCATTCAAGTATAGAGCTGAGTTAATAATAGCGCTCTCAATTTCCTCAAAAGCAGAGTTTGGATAATCTGCTGCTGCCTGTTTATTAGAGGACGATTTCCTAGCTAAGATTAGCATCTCGATCGCCTCTAGAATCAAAAGAGACTTAGTAGAAAAACATGCTTTACACAACCAACGTGATACTGGCTTGCAGCACCGTGCACACATTTTGACACCACTTATTGCAGTTAACAGATTGCATGCCCTCATCGACCAGGAAATAGCATCCTGGTCTACCACGACGATGTTTCTATTGCGCCATGTATTTGTTTGTTCCTATATAAATAAAACAAAGAAACAATACGAAAAAGCTACTTCAGTAGCTACCGAAAGATTTTAACACCTATGGATACAAACAATGCCCAAAGATATATTCAACGAAAAAGATTAATTACCAGTGCCTTTAGTTATATGTATCTGCACTCGTTAAGTAAGATGATAAACTTCTCTAGAGAAAAACTTGTACTCTTGTGAATCACTTTAACCGGAAGAATTCAATTAAAGCAAAAACAGGCTGCTATTAAACGCAACTCGATTTCGTAAACGTGACAGTTATTTAATTAAAAATACATTATGAAATGACAAATTCTATGATTTCTTGAACGCACAGATGACCGTCATTACACTGGGCGATACATTAGGCTAACATGGTTGCGTTGCGGACAAAACCACACAAAATACCACTGGCATTTTTCAATAGCGCGCGTCAGAAGAAATTCAACAAAAATCATACTACTTGGTGTATTTAAGAAGCAATACATGTTGCATGAAGAAGTGGTTTATGTTCCTTCGATCGGTCCAATAAAATAGGGACAATTCCAGATAGTTTACCATCGACATTCAGACCTTCAACCACAAATCTGTATCTGAATCAGCCGGAACATACAAATTATTATTTACGGCGCGTTGTGATGCTGTGGTGAGCACTTCGGTATTTGCCCGAACATTCATAAACGAGATCTGTTTTCCACATAGATCAGTTAAAACAATTATTAGTGTTTTCGCATTTATGTAGCAATAATTAGAGTTTGAACATAACATCTGGTCATTCGTATTTCTGTTTATGATCCTCTACGGTCCAAAACCAATATAAGACAAACCCCACATCCTACTTGCTTTTTTGTTTCCTAGTCACACATTTTTGGTTATTTTACCGACTAGATCCATTCAATTCTGACAAAGTCATATTTGAGTCCATATTATTAACAACTTGTGTCTTCTGGGATAGAGGTGATTGAGTCTGGTTTCCATGTTACTCGTGGATTTACACGTATTGTTAACTTATTTCATACAAAAGGTCATGCGTGGTCAAATATACACATCCTTCCCCCGTCTCCATTTATTTGTTTGTATCAATTTGATCCAGTAACATTATACTAACCTGGTAGAAATTAGTCTCAGGTTCTACCGTTTGATAAGCACTCAACAGGCACTCGGATTTAAGAGGAATATGAGTTCAAATGGATTCTAGACGCGGGATTTAAATGTGTTCTATTGTCTTCAGACCTATGATCTTATGCCGTCGTATAATCACAGTCTATCAGTGAGATAAACATCACTTCATTAGTAAGATGTATTACTTGGATCTACGTAATTAACTGCTAGTCCCACCGAGAATTCAGTCAAAGCATTTTACATATCCAAGTGCTCGTGAAATAACGGACACAGTGTCTAGCCTTTTGCCAACTATGACATACAACTTACATGGAAAAGTTTCAAATAACTTTTCGAACGCTTACGCACTAGTCTCGGGTCTGTTGAGGAATCCATAAATAAAACATTTTGCAGTATTTGATAAAATGAGCTTCATGGCACGTGTTTTCAGAAAATAGCGTTTTGTCGTCCGGTTACATTCTGTTTTACTTAACTACAAATATATTGTCATTTAAAGTACTGTTGAGAGCCAAGCGTGCAAACTTACAATTGATGAATGATTTACATTAAATCATAGGTCCTAGCCTAATATACTTAAGATTACGCATGCGCAACTACCGACTACCACGGCGCCGTGATGATTAGTGTTGAATACAGTCGAGAAAACGTGGCGTCAGTCCATAAATTCTGGTCTGAGCCATGTCGGTTGATGTAAACTACTTGGTTGGGGTTCGCGTGACTATCGTAACCAGTGGTTGGAGACTGTGTGACATGGCTCAGAATCGAGCACAATTGCGTGGGTGTATACACTCTTTGTCTCCCCTCAAAACGTGAGAATGAATTTATTTGATACCTTTCTTACTACGAAGTAGTCCTTCCTCCTTGTATCATCCTTATATGCGATCTTTTTCTGCATATATTATTACCATTGATGAGACTTCCAAGATAAGTGAAGCGGTCGACACACTCAACTACTTCACTCCCTATCACTAGTTCGGGTGTCGATGTAACCCAATCCTGAAGCAACATTTTACATTTCGAGGGAGAGAATCGCATCCCGAACATGCTTGCATTGTTGCTTAGAGTGGTCAGAAGACTCTGCATTTTGGCAGCGTCTTCACCAAATAAAACTATGTCATCTGCATATTCTAAGTCAACAAGTGAACCTCCCGGTAGAAGTTCAACCCCTGGAAATTTAGATGAGGAGAGTGTTATCTCTAAAAGTACGTCAATGACAAAGTTGAACAAGAATGGGGAGAGTGGACAGCCCTGACGAACACCACTTGAGGTGATCAATTCTGATGACAGTTCGCCATAAGCTCTCACTCTACCAGTTGTGTTCGAGTAGAGAGCCTTTATAAGGTTAATGTACTTCTTTGGTACTCCTTTCAGTGACAAACACTGCCATAGAACCTCACGATCAACGGAGTCGAATGCCGCCTTAAGGTCGAGAAATACTACCATTGTGGGGCGTCTGAATGTGTGTCTCTGTTCTAGAACCTGACTGACTGACTGACCATTGATGTACCTGCCTCTTTGAATTTGGTATTCATCTTGTACTAATTAGGTATGGGAACTTGGACCGTTGCATATATGTTCCTGGTCCTACGTTTTAGGTGAATAATATTTAATAATATATAATATATATAGAACAAGTTTCCGTATAACTATTCAAAATCCTGCAACACATTAGCGAATTCCTTCGTTAATGATGGTCATCACTAAAGCAGCTATCTAATAATTAGTTTAACCTGGTGTAGACTCGCAACTTCGTAGTCGAATTCGAATTTCTTGAAGATAAACAGAAACGAAAACCTTTGAAAAATTCTGGCAAAGTTTAACAACAAGAATTCCACTCTTATTTGAAGTAAATTACAATTTGTTTATGGGATATATAGTTCACGATATTTCGGCTAACAAATAATCTGATTATAAATGACAACTTGTTTTTTATAATAATTTCTCTATCGTCGTTTTGACGTTCTTCATATTTGGTAACAAGCACGACATTAATATCTTGTCAAGGTCTTTGAGGGGTTTCTTACTTATATCTTTGCATAGTCCGTTAATTATATCTTAACTTCATATATAAGAGCAGAAGACACTTGTAAGCTACTAGTATTTGACCACATACGCCTTAGGAATACTGCTGGGATCACCGGGTAAGTAATAATGAGATTAGACGCAAGGTATTAGGGAATGATGGTAAATCAGTTGATGAGGTTGTGAATCTTCATTGACTGAGATGGTTGGGCCACGTGTTACGTATGCCCGAACACCGATTACCACGACGTGCAATGCTAACCGGTGTTGGGGATGGTTGGAAGAAAGTTAGGGGCAGCCAGACCAAAATGTGGTATCAGTGCTTGAAGTCACTAACTTCTGGTCTGAGTCATGTTGGTAGATGCAGACTACTTGGTTGGGGTCCGCGTGACTTTCGTAACCAATGGTTGGAGACTCTTGGTGACGGCTCAGAATCGATCACAATGACGTCGATGTATACACTTCCTGTCTTCCCTTAAACTAAGAGATTAAAATCGCTTCATATCTTTCTTTCTACGAACTAATTCTTTCTTCCTGTACTATATCCTTATTGCAATATTTCTTTTATATATTACCACCTCTGAATTAACTACTTTTATGAATCCGGTGTTCATCTTGTTGTGTTAATGAGGTATGGCAACTTGGACCGATGCATATATGTGCCTGGTCCTACGTTGTAGCTGACTGACTGCCTCATATAAATTGTAGAGATGGTTTTTCTAACCTTAATTCAAATCCCCAGGAGTTTTTTGTTAGTTTCTTCACACAACTATCTTTGAAATATCTATTATCAATTCGCCTGTATTTAGGTTTTTTTCTCAAAGCGAACTGATCAAGTCTAATTTTGTTATCTTCTGGAAGCGTATTTGTTTAGCTCTTCCAAACTTTATAACAGAGCCAAAGTTCTAAATAATTGACATGACTGGTTTTGTTGCTTAGTCAAATGCTAATATTGACCGAAAAGCTTTCCTACCATCATTCGTGTGATTGAACACTTATTGACATGCGTTAAAATCTCGCAAACCTTAATGGCTCTAACTATCAGACCCTAGTAAGTGAAGTACCATTGTTACTGAAGTGTATACTGGTGATCTGGCCTAACAAATTTTTGTACTGTCCCTGCTGGGCATGTCTTATATCCATTCACTTATGTGCTCGCGTATATAACTTGGTCTCGTTAGTAGTCATATTGTATCTGCATATTACAATTTTCCAACGTTATATTTACTCATTTTAACAATCCAAACGTTTACTACAAAAATATCTGCCAGAATTGAGTCCAGAGGACTTCTCACGGAAACTGTCAATTTGAGAAAATGATATATTGTTGAATTGTAATCGAAAGTCATTGGTGCACATCAGTAGAAGTTGGTTAAATTCGTCCATTTGCAAAGGATTTCCCAGTATGTCGACACATAGATTTTCTAGTTTCTTCTAGTGGGATTGCGGTAAATAATAATGATATATCGAATGAAACTATCAATTGTAGATGACTGATTATCGTGAAGATTGATATTAGTTATATTTTACAATAAATTCAAATTTTTATTAGATTACATGTTCAGTGAATGCAATTGAATGATGATGAGTTATATCTCAAAATAATACCCATGGTTTTTAAAAGATAGTTTATTCTGCAATCAGGAACTCAATAGTGCTCTTCTATGTTTTTTGCACACGATTGTCGTTCTTATTCAATTCTTTATTTCTTTTGCTATTAGGATCACACATCGTTGGTTCTAATTCACTGGAGTTAAATAGTCATGCTGGTTTTCTCCACCTATGAGTTCCTTTGGTAATCTCTTAAAACAGAAAGTACTACCTAGTGGCTCAAGGATCAACTTGAGGACAAAATTTCGTAAGTGGATTATTGCTTTCAAACGCTTAATTATGTAAAAGCTTAAATCGATCCATGTTCACGTTCGATAGTTATTAATTCCATTGATTGAAGGGATCTAATTAACGATAATAGTTAGTACAAATTAAAATAAAATCCACAAAATCATATATTCTATGCCAAACATAAAAATTTAATACCAACTGTGAATCACAGTCAATGGTTGGAAAAATCATGAATTACCTGTAATGATATACGAATGATTCAATTAAAGGTGGTCTAGAAGTACACAATACAAACTGATCGGTAGATTGTCACATGAGTTTTTACGTAGCTTGAATTTTTCTGTGGGCGATGTAGTGTACATAGTGGGTATCCAAGAGTATAGCATCTCCCATCCAGAGCTATATTTTAAGCGATACTCATGTACAAATAAAAGGTGAAGAAATTGGAATTATTAGGTAGAAGTGTGACGGACGGTACTCAAAAGATTGCTTATAAGTATTATATAGCGGAACGTCGCGAGTAAGTTGCTACAGTTGACAGCCGAAGAGAAGAGTCCCAGGAGGTCAATTAGCATAGCTTATGCAGGGTACTTTGCATATCAGAAGAGAAGCGAAATAAGAGTCTAGAACCAACTTTGATTGAAGAACACAACAAGATGCGAATGGATAACTGACGACTAGGTGTACATATTGCGTAAACATTCCGTAATCTCACCAAATAAATATGCTTTCCGGCGATTTCGTCTGGACTTACAGTACCACAAATAACTCACGGGATCCGCCTGGAGTTCCTCCGGGGGCTTCTGCCGGTCCCAAGCCCGGATAAAGGAAAGTTGGGCATGGGGTTGGCGACCCCATCCCGTAGAAAACTAACTCGCTAAAAAAACGCTAACCAGAAAAGATTATTCAAACTTTTTAAACTCTGCCCTGGGAATCAGAAGGTCTTCATTTAGAAGAACTATGACGCCTCATGATGAAAGCCGCGTTCCTTCAGAAGTTACGAGGCCGATGCCCCTTCTGACAACCAGAGCAACCATTTATTTGGGTACGTGGAATGTTCGTACAGTGTGGGACACCGGAAGAGCCTTCCAAATTGCTGCAGAAATGAGGAGGTACAACCTAGAGGTGCTTGGGATCAGTGAAACACATTGGACGCATGTTGGACAACAACGACTAACTTCAGGAGAGCTTCTGTTATACTCTGGCCATGAAGAAGAAGAAGATGCCCCACATATACAAGGAGTTGCATTGATGCTGTCCAAACGAGCACAAAATGCACTTATAGGATGGGAATCTCATGGACGCAGGATCATCAAAGCCTCCTTCAAAACAAAGAAAGAGGGCACTTCAATGAACATCATCTAATGCTATGCGCCTACCAACGACTACAATGAAGAAGCTAAAGATCAATTCTACGATAGGCTGCAGTCAATCGTGGAGAACTGTCCAACAAAGGACCTGTCCATTCTGATGGGAGATTTCAATGACAAGGTTGGAACAGACAATACTGGATATGAAGACATCATGGGATGACACGGACTGGGAGAAAGGAACGAAAATGGTGAGAGATTTGCAAACCTATGTGCCTTCAATAAACTGGTCATAGGCGGCACCATATTCCCACATAAACGCATACATAAAACCACATGGACTCCACCAGATCACACTACACAAAACCAAATCGACCATATCTGCATTAACAAAAAGTTCGGGAGGACGATGGAGGATGTGAGAACCAAGAGAGGAGCTAATATAGCATCAGACCATCAATTGCTGATCACCAAGATGAAATTGAAACTCAAGAAGCACTGGAAAATAGGGCGGACAATATCACAAATGTTCAATACGGCCTTTCTTCAGGATACTGACAAACTCAACGAATTCAAGATAGTCCTCAGCAATAAGTCCCAGGCCTTTCATGATCTACTCAACGGAGAAGGAACTACTATGGAGAGCAACTGGAAGGGTAATCACCAACATTGAAGTGCGACAAAACAGGTGGGTAGAACACTTCAAAGAACTCTTGAATCGACTAGTCCCACCGAACCCACCCAACATCGAAGCAGCACCCACGGACCTCCCAATCAATTTTGGTCCACTAACAATTGAAGAGATCAGTATGGCCACCAGACAAATGAAGAGCGGCAAAGCAGCAGGACCAGACAACATTCCAGCACGGGCACTAAAAGCAGACATAGCAGTAGCTGCAAAGATACTCCAAATTCTCTTCAGCAAGATTTGGAATGCGGAACTAGTACCAACAAACTGGAAAGAGGGACACCTGATCAAAATACCAAAGAAAGGCGATCTCAGCAAGTGTGATAACTACAGGCTTCGGTTTCGGCACCCGGGCAGTATCACAGCCCTCACACATATCGAATGAGATTTGTGTGGCGCATATGTATTTGGTGCCTCCTTGTACCAATATCTATGTGTTAAAATAAATAAATAAATAAATAAGATAACTACAGGGGCATAACTGTTCTCTCCATACCGGGAAAAGTCTTCGACAGGGTATTGTTAAACAGGATGAAGGACTACGTAGACGCCCAACTCCGTGACCAACAGGCCGGATTCCGTAAGGATAGATCGTGTACAGACCAAATCTCAACTCTATGGATCACTGTGGAACAATCAATTGAATGGAATTCATCACTCTACCTCAACTTCATTGACTACAAGAAAGCATTTGATAACGTGGACAGAACAACACTATGGAAACTTCTTCGACACTACGGCGTGCCTCAGAAGATAGTCAATATCATACAGAATTCCTATGATGGATTACACTGCAAAATCGTGCATGGAGGACAGTTGACAAAGTCGTCTCAATATACACAAAGGGAAAATCAAGATTATTCGATACAACACAGCATGCACCAGTCCAGTCACAATTGACGGAGAAGATTTGGAAGATGTAGAAACCTTTACATATTTGGGCAGCATCGTTAATGAACAGGGTGGATCTGATGCGGATGTGAAGGTGCGGATCGGCAAAGCAAGAGCAGCATACTAACAACTTAGGAACATCTGGAACTCAAAGCAACTGTCAACCAACACCAAGGTCAGGATTTTCAATACAAATGTCAAGACAGTTCTACTGTATGGGGCAGAAACCTGGAGAACTACGAAAGCCATCATCCAAAAAATACAGGTGTTTATTAACAGTTGTCTACGCAAAATACTTCGGATCCGTTGGCCGGACACTATTAGCAACAACCTACTGTGGGAGACAACAAACCAGATCCCAGAGGAGGAAGAAATCAGGAAGAAGCGCTGGAAGTGGATAGGACACACATTGAGGAAAGAACCCAGCTGCGTTACAAGGTAAGCTCTCACATGGAATCCTCAAGGCCAAAGGAAAAGAGTAAGACTGAAGAACACATTACGCCGGGAAATGGAGATAGACATGAGAAAAATGAACAAGAATTGGATGGAATTAGAAAAGAAGGCCCAGGACAGAGTGGGCTGGAGAATGCTGGTCGGCGGTCTATGCTCCATTAGGAGTAACAGGCGTAAGTAAGTAAGTAAGTTATACGATTTGTTTACAAATAATTTTCATAGTATCGGCGAGTTATTCGCATTTTACCATTGTGTTCATTACGTCTGATTTTCTCTTCATATTGTGATATTGCAACATAGTTAAAACACCCGTTTCAATGATATATATATATATATATATATATATATATATATATATTCAAATTTGTACTGTTACGAATAGTTCCTACTACTATGCACACTACAGTGCACAATTAGTCCGTACACTACATAGTAGTTAGTTTGTTGGTAATTTTAACTGAAAAACGTTTGACTTTTTTATTTTGCTAGATATTTATTTCAAAAAACTGGCAGAAGATTATATTTCATCTGGTCGTGACACTCTGCAACGTATTCGTCAAAATCCAGTACGGTCTACTCTCTGGACTTCAGCTGTCCTTGCTGTATCATACATTACCAGCACCTGTCCCAATAAACAGAATTATTATGCTTCTCTCGTTGAATCTGCTATTGATTTGTGGGAAGTTCCAGATCTTATACGCAACTCTGGAAGTGCCAGCTACATTCATAAATGTCTTAAATTATTCTCTAAAGAACAGATTAGATATAATAACCTTGGATTATTTGCAATTATCTGGCGTGATGATCGAACTCAGTCGTGTTATCAGTATGCAGAAATATGCAAGTACACCTATCCTGCGAACGGGGGAGGGAATTTCACAGGTCTCTTTCGTTTATTCTTGTTCGATCGTCCTCAAGAAAATGGTCTGGAACGCATACAGAATATTGTTCAGGATCGCATTTTGGATTTTGGATTCATGGGAAAATGGTGGTTCATGTCACACTACATGGATAGCTATGACATCAATCCTGACGAATGGGAAACTCCAAAAATCTCCGAGAAGCTCACCAGGAAAGAGTCGGACTAATAACAGTTTTAAAAGCAGTGCGAAACCTAGTCAGCCTACTTGCTCGTCATCTCATTTTAAACCATCTGAAGATCAAAACTGCAGCGGACAAAATATTGAATTACATTTGAATAGTCCTAATAACATGAGTGATGACTGGGAAATAATAAATGAAGAGGTTTTGTACGTAGACTGTCAAGGTCTGCTAGAAGATGATATCTTAACCCCATCTAGTGTCATTCGCCTTTTGGATATAGAGTCAGATAAACCTCTTATGCAGGTAAATTAGCTGTCGATTTAGTGTTTTCTTAAAGAGCACATCTACTAAGTTCATGGTCTTTCATAATCAACCTATACTAATACCCATTTTTCCTAAGGCACCAATATATTTAAGTGCGTCATATGAGGACTTTCATTACAACGATGTTCGTAAACGTTGCGCTTTAGTTCGATACAAATGTTCACTTGGTGTTTTACAACTTACACCACTCTTGACATGAAACATGTCAATCATAAACGGATATATAGCATACAAGCGCACTCTATTCTGCTATACAGCTTTGACATGCCTAATGAAAGAAAATAGAAGCTATGTGTGTTTCAGGACCTTTTTTGAAGTTTTGTCAAATACTGTGTCATCGTGAAAATAGTGTTTTAAGTTAACTTCTGAAACTACTTACATGGTTTCCATAACTAAGTTGTCAAATTGTATTTTATTGGATAAACTGCTTGTGTTTCAGCGAGTATAAACCTCGCTTCACATCCATTTGAAAAACTGGGTAGTATTACTAACCGTCTTACAGTATGGTCCAAAGCTGAGCTCATTAACCAAAACAAGAGTGATCAATAAATTTTTAATTTGTTGTGCATTGTTCTTGGCTAACAAGTTCTTCATTTTTAATTGGTTGTTACGTGTAAACAAAACCGCCTGTTCATGATTAGCGATTAAAAGTTGGAACGTCATTCGAAATTAGATGAATTTTCCTCCACACAATCAAGTGTAACAACCTCACTACTCAAATTCAGCACTATGGATGCCTACAGGTTATTCTGGTATAAGCTGCTGATTACAAAGTTTATACTAACGTAACTGAATGCTACGTTTTCTGCTGTAGTAACTAAGGAAGAAAGAAAGTTGGGATCATGAGTCAATCGAAGCTAGACCACCATGGAAAACCTGGATGGCTGTTTCGTCCTTTTGTGAAGGAGTCCCACAATAGGACGTGACGGCTGTCCAGTGCTTCCAGGTTTTCCATGGTGGTCTAGCTTCGATTGACTCGTGATCTCAACTATTGAAATTACTACAATCTCCACAAAACTCCTTCTGATGGTAGAAAGAAAGCTTTAGAAAATCAACTTGTCGCACTAAGTTGATGTGATGTCACTTGCGTACTGAAATAGTAATAGTGTGATTCGTTTTTCAAGTACAGGTGTATGTACTCTGTTTTGAAACACATTGTTCATGTAATGGGTAGTGATATTTACCGACTAGTTTAAACGTGATGGGTTCGCCGAATGAACCATCACTCATTTGGTATGTGGTTCACATAAATTCAAGGCTTCCTCAAGAAGATTTACGACTGTTTGGTACAGAACTGTCAAACTTATCTATTAAGTAATCGGTTAAGTGTTTATGCTTTGTACTTTTCCATCTGAGAATTCATTTGAGGTTATTTTTCTCAATATTCGGTTATCAAAACATTTTGACAAATTCTTGATATACTTTCTGGAATTAAGTATGCACATTTTGATAATCAATAATTGTTCCACTTATATCAATCCCCTTCAAGGTTGGACCAGCGGTCTTTGAAGGACGTTATGAAGATACAGTTGGGACATATTTATTCTTTGAAAATAACTCCACTCTGAATAACACTCTTCCCATAGAAGGCGCTTCTCTAGCACCAGCGCGCAAAATGGACGACCAAACATCACAGCATACCACAACCTATGTCGCTAAATCTTCCAAATCTCTTACATTTCAGCGCATTTTCCTAAAAGCAAAAGAAGGAAATCACTAGCTACTCCCGTTGGGAATGTTAAGTTTCGAGTATTGGAGTGTAATTTGCAGTATGAGGTTTTGTACTTGTTAAAACAAATATATTTTTAAATGAACACCCAAAGCCTTCTTAACAAAAACCATTTCCAGAGATTTCCATAGTTACGTACTCCTGTTGCCCCTTCTGGAGAAGCATAGGCCGCCCCCAAATGGTCTGATATGACCGAGAGCGGGGTAGGCCCGCACTCCATCTCGAATTGCTCTCACATGGACACCCGTATATAGCCTTTGCCGGGGAAGTCCTACTCACTGCCTTCTCGTGGCGGGGGTGTTGTTTACGAAATTGAGAGGATAAAAAGCAAATGTCCGACACTAACCGGGTTGGTGGACACGGAGATTCCACCTAGGGGAAATGGAAAACCCTGATTCCAAACCAATGGTGCACATGGGCCCCAGTATCCTGAGGGAACAAATGGTGTATGAACCAATCGTTGGTCACCGGCTACTATGGGACTGCATCTCTTCACGATGATCCACTGCCTTGTGGATCAGACCTTTAGGTCGAAGGCTCCGGGTGTGGCCCCCTAAGAAAACCACCTGCTTCGGTTTGGGCACCCAGGCGGTATCACGAATGTGTACATCTGTTTGGTGCCTCCTTGTATCAATGTTTGTCTTTAAATAAGTAATAAATAGGCTACCCACTAGCACTCTCCACCTAACCCTGTCCTGGGCAATCCTTTCCAGTTGGTATTCATCCTTTTCACGTCTGCTTCTGATTCTTCACGTACTGTGTTCTCTGGTCTCCCTTTTTTCCGTTTTCGTTCAGGACTCCAAGTTAGCAGTTTGGTGATTTCCGTAATGTATGTCCTATCCACTCCCAACGTCTTTTCCTAATTTCCCCTTCAGATGGAAGCTAGTTAGTTCTGTCCTACGGTAGCTCATGGTATCCAGTCATCAACGGACATTGAGTATCTTGCGTAGACAACTGTTCATAAGTACCTGTACATTTTTGATGATGATTGTAGTAATTCTCCACGTTTCAGCTCCGTTCAGTAGGACTGTATTGAGGATTCTGACTTTAATATTGGCCGGCAGTTGTTTTGAGTTTTACATGTTCTCCAATTGTAGGAGTGCTGTCCTTGCTTTTCCAACCCTCGCCTTTACGTCTGCATCAGTTATTTTGAATTCGTCGAGTTTGTCAGTATGTCTAAGGAAGGCTGTATTGAATATTTGTAATGCTGTTTTTCCAGTTGTCCAATGCTCCTTTAGCTTCAGTTTCATCCTGGCAACCAACTGGTGATCTAAAGCTATGTCAACTCTTCAGCTTCTCAGGTCTTACATTGTCCTTCTGAAGTTTTTATTGATACGAATGTGATCTATCTGGTTCTCTGTGATGTGATCCAGTTGAACCCATGCAGCTTTTTGTATTCGTTTGTGGTGTAATATTGTGCCGCCTATAACCATTTTGTTGAATGCACACAAAGTTGTAAATCTGTCACCATTTTCATTTCTCCCTCCCAGTCCATGATATCTTCATATCCGGTGTTGTCCATCCCGACTTTGGCGTTCAGATCTCCCATCACGATGGTGATATCCTTTCTTGGGCACTCCGCTATGATTGATTTCCATAGGGAACATGTAATTTGTGTTCGAACGGTTTGATCTGTTACGTAAAACGTACTAGACAACCTAACTAATGATTTCTAGCGATAAAAAGTAGGTTCATATAAACATTAGTTCAAAAGAGTACCAATATATATGTGTGCCACACAATAAACCATTAAGTCTGTATGGGCTGGGATACTGCCCGAGTGCCTAGACCACATCAGGTGGTCTTCTTAGAGGGTTCCTCCCCGTACGTTTGACCTATAGGTCTTATCCTCAGGGCAGCGGAGCAACGTTAGGATGCAGTCACATGTTGTCCGATAACCAATAGTAGATCCACACCCCGTTCGTTCCCTCAGGATCCTAGAGCCCATGCGCACCATTGGTTCGCCAACACCTAGATTGATTCTCCTCACCCACTAACCCTGTTTAAGAGCTGGACAATCACCTTTTACCTTCTCAATTTGGTAAACATTCCTTCCACGAGAAGGCAATAACCATATGAGAGGATTTCGAGTAGAACGGACCCTACCCACTCTGTCGTACCAGTGTGTTTGTGGGCGAATATTAAAGCAACGGTCGTCTTAATTGAGGTTAGAATAAAACAAAATTAACATTTTATTCCGCTTTCCCAAAGTATGTTAATACAATGAGACCCTTCCATAATTAGTACAAATCACTAGTTATTTCACTGAGTTACCTAAGGCAGTAGTAATTTTGTCTCCCCACATCTGAACTTCTAAGCGAGAACAATCATACATTCACTTCATTTAGAAGAGACTGAAGTCGTTTACTCTTTAAATACCTTTCTTTCTGAACCAATCACATAAACGTAAAACGCTTCGAAGTCCTAAAACTCTGATTGCAAAAGGCCCTTTCCACACTAATAACTAGAATTTGGTTAAGAGAGTCAACTCTCTAATCGGATTTCTAATTTAACTAATTCAACAACTTCAAAAACATAATTTAAGGGTTTGCATGTGCCGGAACATAACTGATGCCTAAAAACTAGGACATATTCAGACCCTTCCTTGGACTTCTGAATTGCAGTGTAGTATACATGACTCGTCGTTTGCACGATAGAATCTTATTGTTGATGACAGCATCAAAATATTGACTTTGTGAAATCCCTAGGATTAACTAGTCGCTTATATGAACTGTTTCTATTCAGCATTTACTTAAGTCTATCGCTGACATATTTCGGAACTACACGCTGAAGATCGGTGCTCCACTTATAGGCCTGGCTTGTCCTGATAATAGATGAAGTAATTAGACAATCACGCTCTACAAACTACTAAAGTAGTTGATAAAAATATTACGGCTGCAATTTGGCTTTTTGTAACAAACTAAATCGGCGGCAAGAATACAAACAGCGAATACATTTAAGAAAATCCAATGTGAATAACTCACATGGTGAAATACTATGTATTTCAATATTTCGTGGTGTGGGTGATGAGAAGAGCATTCTAACCCTACAGAAATCGACGACTTATTTTCACGACATTGAAAGGAACAATCGGTGGGGTCGTAGACGCTTTGATTGTTTCTGTACCATGCTATTCAGAATATATATTTGACAAATCTTGTCCTGACTCAACCTTCAGTAACCGAAATCAAGCTCAGAGTTATGAGGAATTACATCACGTATATTTCAAAGAAAGCCTATAAGGTGAGAAATGTTTGGGAAAATCCTAACATCATAATAAATACGTATGTGCCACCTAGATTGAGCAAAAGCAAAAAAGTATCATACATGATCACAAATATAAACAATTAAGTTAGTAAGTAGGTAAGCTAGACGAACATGAAGACTGAGGGGAAGTAAATAAATAAACACTAACAAACAAGAACTGATAAAGTAAGTTGGTCAAAACGATACAGTTTTCACAGCTGAGTGCAACATATTAGATGAATACAACAGAGGATCGAAAGCCCGTATGTTGCTGTCCATCAATTGGAACTAACAGCAAAATGCAGCAATAAACCGTCGGGTTGTTGCCGCATGAAACGAGATCACATTATTGCACATTTCACAAAATACTTTCCAAATGAGCTGCCACATTAAGTTCCTCTTCGAACATCCAAGTAGGTGGGATAACACTGAAAAAGAGTTTGGACATGAAACAAGTGGTTTGAGACTTTACGGAGAAATGCACGAGAAACAAAAATGTAGTGCTTCTGTTGAGAGAGTGTTTTCAAGTTTGAAGAAACATTCGACCGCATTTTTGAGGAGCAGTTGTATGTGAACAAAGAATAAGAGAATGGTAACAACTAGGAATTATTTATGAACTATTATAACATATAATCTTACAGGATTATTAATCAAATAGTTTATACATATCCATATTCTTTTTGTCATAAGCCTCCGTTTGACCTATTAGCTGTTATGCGATTTACCATTCTTAATTTATTCCGAATCTATTAGTTACAGTCTACTGTGCTTACAAATGCCTTTGGCTTGATCTTATATAATTGTTTTTTTTTATTAAAATTTTATGGTGCGATACTGTCAGGAATGCTTGTATATAAACCACGTATGTCTGAAATGTACGATTCATACGGCGGATACCGACATTTGTGCTGTGGATCGAACGGGCGGGGCTAGGCGAGAAGCTATTATACAGAGGACCAATAGGGACTCGGAATTGACTCTAGGCTGCTCGTGTTGGTTAACGCATCATCGGTTTAGCACACGGATAAGGTCACGAGATATTTGGCAGGCCATAGGACATAACTATTAAATAATTTGATTAGTGTTCTTTTATAATCCCCTTACTGCGAACTTCCACTAAACCTGTTAACCACTGTTAAACGTTTTATTACGTCTCAATTACTGTTAATTATGTACCGTTTGCTCAACACCCTGTAACATATAGCCTGATTGTTTTTAAAAGTATAGTTTCTTATTTGGTGCGCGATGCGGCCTAATAATTCCTGTATTCTAAACTAATACGTGTTTGAATTAAAAAGACTGGATGCCTGATATACATAGAAGTTTGGCTTCTGTCTTTTAATTTATCGTACAGGAAACTGGGATGTCAGAAAGGCGTACGTTCTGGACCAATGAGAGTTAGGATTTTCCCGGCTTTAGCTTAAGATTACTCCCTTCAGTCAGAACGTATCATTGGTCAAGACGTAGGATGTTAGTCCATAAAGAAACATTATGGGATTCTTATTGATAAATCTTATCAAACGGTATTGACTAACTTTCACCTTCATAAGATTTTTAACTGGCCTGTCGCTCTATCAACACTGATCAAAGTATCCTCTCAGTAGTTTAACAAGAATAAATAGGTCTAGTAATTATGTCGCTCTTATAACACTAATTAGTCATGGGTGACTGAAAAGCTGATTTACAAAATATCCAATCAAATAACAAAAACATGAGCTACAGAAGAGTTCAAGTTGGAACTGATTCTACTGTGTCACAACTATATACCAGAAAAAATTTCCTGATTCATATTCACTACAAACTAACATAACATTGAACACCTGAAGGTACATTATGT